GGGCCCAGACCCCCACAGCCTTCATTCCCCGGACGAACCCCAGACCCCCGAGCCTTCGTCAAACGAACACCCAGAACCCCCGAGCGAAACGGCGCGTCTCCTTCATGCTCACCCCAGACGGGCCTGGAGCTATCACCCAGCCTTAGCCAGACGAGCCTCGCGGAACCCCCCCTTCCTTCGCCGGACGGGCCCCGGATCCCCAGCCTTAGTCGGACGGGCCCTGGAGTTTCCGAACCTTGCCTGGATGGGCCCCAGAGTCTCCCAGGCAAGCTCCAGGGCCCACGGGCCCCAGACCTCCCCCGACCATGGCTCGACGGGTCCCGAGCTCTGGACGGGCCTCCCAGTTTTGAGGTTTGGTGGTCCGACAGGCCCAAGAGCCCCTGGAGTTTGGCCCGACGGGCCTGCCAGACCCCCGCCATCATGATTTCTGTTCATGACGTCGACCCCCCGAGGTCTCGACCCATTCCCCGGGACCGGTTTTTCGTCCTGAGTCGTGTTTTGACGGTCCCGAGGGCTGGCCCCCAAAGGCTAAAAGTAATGAAACACCTCCCGTCGTGATTTTTCCATTGCTCGAGGGGGCTGGGCTGGGGGCCCCCTGGTTTTGGCTCCACGGGCCGCAGAGCGCGTCGGCCAGGTGAGCCCATCCCTGATGGTCCGCTACCGAAAATTTCCGGTAGCGCTCCGCAGAGATCGGTCGCTACCGAAATACCGAAATGTAGCGCCCAATACCGGTATCAGAGCGTTCTGAAATTCGCTATTTCAACGTGCTCAAACGAAGATCCGGTCGCTACCGAAATTCGGGGTGCGTCGAAATCGCTACCGAACATTTCCGGTACCAGACCATCTGGGATCGGAGCCCCCTGGTGCCCCGGCGTGGGCCCCACGCTTGCGCAAGTCAAGCCGGGCAACGGACATCCCCCGGCGCCCTGGGACCCCCGAGCCCGAGCTTGGAAGTGTCGCGGATCTCTGTTGAGGCATATTCCCAGACCCCCTCGAGGTATGGCAAAAATCACGACGGGAGGTTTTTCATTATTTTTGGCCTTTGGGGGCCCTTACCGGCCCTCGGGACCGTCAAAAAACGACTGAGGACGAAAAACCGGCCCCGGGGAATGGGTCGAGACCTCGGGGGGTCGACGTCATGGAAAAATCATGACGTCGGGGGTCTGGGTTGGAGGCTGCATTGCATCGATTCTCGCGCTGCCTGCAGCGATGGTGGAGGCCATCTGGGACCATCGGGCCAGGCGAAAGGGGGGGATTGGGAAAGGGGGGGTTACGAAATTTGCTGCATGCAGCTGGTTTCGGCCTCACCGAGGGGCCCATTCCTCGATACATAGCCGCTTCTGGCGCCGGGAGGCGCCGGGAAAATCAGCTACGTGAGCTGATTCTCAAACCCCCCCTTTGCTACCCCCCCCCCTTTCGCCCGACACGAGACCACCTGGGGCTCTCAGGGGTTCGTGCTGAATCACCTGGGGCGTTCTGACCTCTCGTGGGGGTAGGGTCGCGCCCCCAGCGCCCGCATCTCTTTCCCTTCGCCCCGCCCCGCTGCCCCGCCCCGCCCGCCCACCCATCGGGCCGCGCATCCTTCGAGCCAGACGGGCGCGCTCCAGGCCTCGGGCCAGTCCTCGTCCTGGCGCGCTGTCGGACCCGAGACCTTCGCGCCTTCGGGGCCCCGCTTTGGGGCGCAACCCCCTCTTCCCTAGCAGCGCCCCCAAACACCCTCCAAACCGAGAAACATGATCTCACCGTCGTATTCGCTCAGTCGATCAGCATCGGGATAGGCATCGGGGAAATCATCGGGGCGAATCGGGAGCACAGTCGGGACAACCATCGGAACAGCGATCGGCGCAGCCATCGGGACGACCATCGGGGCAACAGGCAAGACAAACATCGGGACAGCCATCGGTACAACCATCGAGACAAACATCGGGACAACCGTCGGGGCAACCATCGGGACAACCTCATGACAACCACCGGGACGACCGCAGGCTCAATCCGCCAGTCAGACGGGAGGCGAATCTTTTCACTCGGGGCCCACGTAACAAAGGGGTCCGCCCTTGCGCGGCTCAGCCCGGTCGGGGCTTGGGAGTTCTCGAGCGGCTTCGCGACGGGGCTCTGGCCGACCCGGGTCTGCGCTGATCCGGGGTCTCAGCGGCACCGTAACGGGTACCCACTAGCGGGTACTTAGGAAAGGTGCCGAAAGTTGCCAGTTCAGGGACTCTTTCTGGCATTGCAGCGTTGCCCACGTCGGGGAGGGTGGGGTTCGCCGGGTCACTGGCCAAAGTACCCGTTAGTGGAGTCCCCGTTAGAGGGGCGTTGAGGGTGGTGCGTGCCCGACTGCTCCGAGATCGCTCCGGCAGCGGCGGGAGCACGCGTCTCGCCCGCGCACGCAGCCTCGCCGCGCCCGCCCGCCCGCGCGGCGGGAGCAGGAGGAGGAGGAAGAGGAGGAGGAGTAGGAGGAGGAGGAGGAAGAGGAGGAGGAGGAGGAGGAGGGGGAGGGGGAGGGGAGAGAGGAGGAGGAGGAGGAGGAGGAGGAGGAGGAGGAGGAGGAGGAGGAGGAAGAGGAAGAGGAAGAAGAGGAGGAGGAGGAGGAGTTGGAGGAGGAGGAGGAGGAGGAGGAGGAGGAGGAGGGGGAGGGGGGAGGGGGAGGGGGAGGAGGAGGAGGAGGAGAGGAGGAGGAGGAGGAGGAGGAGGAGGAGGAGGAGGAGGAGGAGGAGGAGGAGGAGGAGGAGGAGGAGGAGGAGGAGGAGGAGGAGGAGGAGGAGGAGGAGGGGGGGGGGGGTAGGAGGAGGAGGGGGAGGAGGGGAAGGAGGGGAGGGAGGAATGTGATGCGGAGCGCGCTGGAAGCAAGCATGGGCGACGGGGAATGAGCAGGGGAGGAGCAGAGTGGGGAAGAAGGCGTGAAGGGAGGGGGCAGCACGGGCAGAGAACGTGCCTTGGGCAGGCGCGAGTTCCCGCTCGGGGAGGATGTTGGAAGGGGACGACAGTCGCCATCAAGGAATGTCAGCCGCGCGCGGAGGGGGGTATGGGGGAGGGGGGAAGGCTTCTTAGAAGCACCCCTGTTTCTCAGAAAGCGCGGGCGTTCTGTATAGATAGAAGGCTGGCGCCTTTTAAGAAACAGCCTCCTTCCAAGAAGCGTTCCCCCCTCCCCCTACCTCCTACGCCCTGGCTCGCCGCCAAGAACGGGGTACTGACAGAAAGGTGTCCTGAGGAAAGGCCACTCTGCCGCGATACTGTTTGGGCAGCGCCGACATGGATTGGGTGCTCGATAGGCGATGTCTGACATCGGTGCACGCTGCCTCTGCGCCCTTCGAGCGAGGTGTCCTGAGGCTGTTCGCCATTTTCGGCTCTGCGCCCTTCGGGTAGGAGTGGTATGCGTGAAAGTCGGTTTGGGCATGAGTTGCTGTCACCTCGGCATGTAGCGTTTACAATTCACGCTTCGCATATCTCCACCAGCCCCTTCATAAACATTTCCCATAAGAGTTGACGGGAATGGGAATAATAATAATAATAATCATATACATATATATAGTGACAACGCAGGCAACCAGGCTGAGCAGAGAGATCCCCGGGAGCAAGGGGTGGCCTTGTAGAGCCTCTTCTGGCCATCCCTGGAGCCCGTGGTGGAGGGCGCGGGGAGACAAACAAAGAGGCAAGGAGGACAAACCGCCTCGTGGGGACCTCGTGGGGCGCTCTTGGGCGTTGTTGGGGCCGTGCTGGGGCCCTCTTGGGGCCCTGCTGGGGCTCTCTTGGGTGATTCTTTGGGGCCCTGGAGGACCTCTTGGGGCCATCTTGAGGAGAAGGGTCTCGGATTTCTGCCCCCCCCTAAGACCATCAAGGTCGCCTCTTGGGGCGCTCTTGGGCCGATATCGAGCTCTCTTGTCGCAGTTTGGGGGGGTCCTTGGTCCACTAGTGGGCCTCTATTGGGCCACATTGGGGCCATCTTGAGGCGTTAGAGCGCATCGGAAGCAAAATTGCGAGAAGGTAAGCATTACTGTGTTTTTTAAGTTGTCTGGAGGAGTTTGGCACGAAGGGGGGGGCCCCGATAAGAGGCTTCGAGAGCACTTTGCTCCACGTTGTGGCCCTCGCTGGGCCTCTTGGAGGTATGTTGGAAGTTCGGAAGTTATAGTGAACCGACTTCGGGCATTTTGATTCTCACTGTAGGCCATCTTGCAGCATCGAAGGCCCTCTTCGAGCCGTCTTACGCAATCTTGGGCGCCCTGACCGATCGCGAAACCCACCAAAAACCTTTGGGAAGGGATGGGGGAGGGGGAAGGTACCCCTCCCCGAAGGGAAGAGGGTTTGTGGAAGAGGAAGGGGGCAACTCGTTGGACCACCCTAGCCCAACGGGCTGTGGAACTAATGCGTAGTAGTGGTTGCTCATGGGTGCAGGCTAAAAGGCGCCGGTTGGTGCTTATGGGAGCTACTGGACGCTAATAGGCGCGAATAGGGACACTGATGGGCTCTCATATTCGCTAATAGGTCGGAACCTGCTCTGACACAAATCACTATCACACATAATACATTTCACTTCGGGATGGGCACCCAAACAGTGCGGAATTCATAGCTGGTTCAGTGCCATCGCCCAGCGCGGGCGTTCAGGGTCGATCGCTGCCAGTGGACCAGAAACGGCCGGTGTCGAAAGATCTGCGCTAGTTGAGCGCCACGATCGTTCGAGGCTGAAGGACCCGCGCGGTGTCAGAAGCCAGCGCCGAGGTCATCGCGACGCGGACCTGCTGAACGGAGGAGCGGGGGCAGGAAGGTTTCGGGCTTCGGGCTGCGCTCAGGCGGCCCCCGCATGCAGTCTGGGCGGGCCTCAACAGGCCCCCCGGGTAGCCCAGGACGGCGTCAACGCCCCAGCCCTGGGGCGCGGAGCGCCCCAGGGGCGCCGCCTGAGGCGGCGCCGGGGGATTGAGGCCGCCCCTGGCTTCTCGGGGGGCCTGCGGAGGCCATCGGAGACTACCTGGGCGGGCTGTCCGTGCGCAGCCCGAAGCTTTTCCAAGCGGGGGGGGGCGAGGAGCTCATCCGGGCCGGCGCGGACCCGAGCGCCTGGCGCCAGTCGGACGGGATGTCCCCGCTGCACCACGTCTGCGCTCGCCAGAACCACCGCCGCGGGTGGCTGAGCTTCCACAAGGCTGGCTGGGACACTGGAAAATAGCAAAGAGCATGCTCTTCTGTTTCGTGGAGTTCAGAGTAACTAGGGCGGTTGGCCTTCGGGGGGGGGGCGGACGCAGCTCGGGGCGGGTTCCATGGATCGATTTTGAGTTGCCGGTGCCTCAACTCGCCCTGCTCCGCTCCTCGTGCTCCTCCTGCTCCTGGTGCTCCGTTCCTGCCGGCGCGAGCTCTTTGGCACGTGCATACCTTAACTCCGACCCTTCAGAGTCGCCTGCCCAATCGAAAGCCGGGAGGCTCAGCGACCCACCTGTTCACGCGGGATCGCGAATACGAGCACGAGGAGGAGGAGGAGGAGGAGGAGGAGGGAAAGGACGAGGAGGAGGGGGAGGAGGAGGAGGAGGAGGAAGAGAAGGAGGAGGAGAGCAAAGCCAAGCGTAATCCCAGGATGCGTCATCGACGCTGCAGTATACACCCTTCCCATGGGCTCGGCGGTATTACATTATCTAGCGGAACCGAGCGTCCTGGTCCGAGCATATAGGTTGCGAAGCGCTTTACGAAAGTGCGCCAGTGGATCTCCTTGAATACACAAAAGAGGGGGGGGGGGGGGGGGGGGGGCAGAACCCCCCCCCCCTCCCCCCCCCAGGGGGGGTGAGATTTTCGACCCCCCCCCCCCCCCCCCCCCCCCCCCCTTAACGGGGGAGGGGGGTCCGAACCCCCCCGTCCTCAGCCCCCTTGAAGGGGAGGGGGGGGGGTCCAGACCCCCCCCCCTCCCCCCTTGGCGCTGGAAAGGATGGGGGTGGTCGGATCCCCCACCCCCCTCCCCCCCTTTTGCGCCGGAAAGGGAGCCCGGGAGGGGGGGCCTCTCTCGTTTCTCCTTTCTGCGCTGGAGAAAGTGTGTAGGGAGTACGGAGTTGGGAGTAGGGAGTGGCGAGTAGTGAGTGCGAGTTAATGCGAAATGAGTAGTGAGTATTGGGTAGTGAGCAGTGGGTGGTGAATGGCGAGTAGGGAGTAGGGAGTGGGGAGTAGTGAGTAGTGAATAGTGAGTAGTGCGTAGTGATAAGTGAGTAGTGAGTGGCGAGAAGTGAGTTACAGTGTAGTGAGTAGCGAGTAGCGAGGATTGAGTACTGAGTTGGGAGTAGGGAGTCATGAGTAGTGGGTAGTGGAAAGTGGGTAGTGAGCAGTGGGTGGCGAGTAGTGATTAGTGAGTAGTGAGTAGTGGGTAGTGCCTAGTGCGTAGTGCGTAGTGAGCAGTGAGTAATGAATAGTGAGTAGTGGGTAGTGGGTAGTGAGTAGAGAGTAGCGAGTAGTGAGTACTGAGTAGTGAGTAGTGAGTACTGAGTACTGAGTAGTACGTATTCCGTAGTGAGTGGTGAGTAGTGAGTAGTGATGAATAGAGAGTAGTGGGTAGTGGCAGTGGGTAGTGATTAGCGAGTAGCGAGTAGGGAGCAGCGAGTAGTGAGTAGTGAGGAGCGAGTAGGGCGTAGTGAGTCGTGAGTAGTGAGTAGGGAGTAGTCAGTAGTGAATAGTGCGTAGTGATTAGTGATTACAAGTAGGGAGTAGCGAGTAGTGAGTAGTGAGTAAGGGAGTAGTGAGTAGTGAGCAGTGAGTAGTTAAAGTGGGTAGCGACTAGTGGGTAGTGAGTAGCGATTCGTGAGTAGTGGGTAGTGACTAGTGACTGGTGACTAGCGACTTGACACGATGTAGCGACTAGTGAGTAGGGAGTAATGAGGGAGTAGCGGGAATAGAATAGTGAGTATTGAGTAGCGAGTATGGGAGTAGCGAGTACTGGGTACTGAGTACTGAATAGTCAGTGTTGTGTAGGGAGTAGCGAGTAGCGAGTAGTGGGTAGTGAGTAGTGATTTGTGGGCAATGAGTAGTGAGTAGTGAGTAGTGGATAGCGGGTAGTGGGTAATGAGTAAGTACTGATTAGTGAGTAGTGAGTTGGGAGTAGTGGGTAGTGCTTAGTGAGTAGTGAGTGTTGAATAGTGAGGAGTGAGTAGTGAGCAGCGAGTGGGGAGGAGGGAGTAGTGAGTAGGGAGTAGTGAGTAGCGAGTAGTGGGTGGTGGGTAGTGGGTAGTGAGTAGTGGATAGTGAGTAGTGAGTCGTGACTAGTGCGTAGGGGGTAGTGAGAAGTGAGTAGCGAATAGCGAGTAGTCAGTAGTGGGTAGTGAGTAATGAGTAGTATTCTTTGGGGCTGGGGTTAGGGTTAAGGGTTCTGGTTTGGGTGAGGACTAGGGGTCAAGTTAGCCAGCTCGAACGAGCGAGAGGGCCCCGTCCACCCCCACCCGCCCTCCCACAACATAAGAAGCCAGCGCGTCGCGTCCGACGCCCGTCGTTTATCTTATACCGTGGGCGGCTAGACGTTTCCCGCGCGCGATGTGCGCCGCGCCCCATATGCGCAGGTCCCGGGCCATCCCCACGGGCCAGAGGCGTGCTAAGGTCTCCGGTAACTAGTTAACAATCTTCTAGTTTGCGCGCGCGGGGCGGCCCCTGGGGGCCCCCGGACGAAAAGAACCCCGAGCAGGTCCTGGGCACGTCGGTCCCAACGATTGTTTTCTTCTTCGGCGCTGACTTCCAGGTCCCAGAGCGCCCCAGGAACGCCCCAAGAGAGCCGAGACGCCCCCCACACGATCCGAGGGGCCCTGAGTTGCCGAAAGATCGTACCAAGACGCCCAAGATGGCCGCCAGACGACCGAAGACGCCGCCAAGAAACCGCGGGGAGCCTCTCGAGGCCGTCCAAGAGCCTGAACAAGCAAAAACCTCCCAGGCATTCGTCACCCCAGGGCCTTCTGGAACGCCCCGGCGCCCAATGAATTGGCGAGCTAGAAGCGTGCGCCGAGCCAAAGCGGGAGCGCAACTTTGAGAAAATGTCGCTCGGCGCCCAAGCGGGAAATCCATTTCATTCACTTCGTGCGGGGGGGGAGGTGGGTGTGCCGCGCCCAATTCTTGCTATGCGCTTTTGCGGGGTGGACGACAAGAACAGCTATGTGGGCAGGGAAAATCATCATGGCATTGCTTCTGACAAGTAAGGTGGCCCCTCCCGCCTTGGGGTTGCCCAAGAAGTCCGCGCGCGCTGTGCGCCGCGCCCCATTCTTGCCACGCATTTCGCTTCGTCGACGACAAGACAGGCCATGATGAAAGGAAAAACGGCAACTCGGTATTGTTGTTTACAATCAAGATGGGGGGGCCCGCAGCCCGCATGGACGTCCGCGCGCGATGCGCGCCGCGTCCCATTCCTGCCACATATTTCGCATTGTCGGCGACAAGGGAGGCCATCTGACAGGAACAAGCGAAGACTTTGTATTGATTTTTTCTAGTCAGGATGGGCGGGCCCGGATTGACGGCCGCGCGCGCGATGTGCGCCGCGTCCCATATGTGCGCCGCGTCCGACTGCTGCCACATATTTCGCACCGTCGGCGGCAAGGCAGGCCATGCTGAAATGAAAAAGCGAACACTTTGTATTATTTTTTTACAGTCAGGATGGGCGGGCCCAGATTGACTGCCGCGCGCGATGTGCGCCGCGCCCCATTCCTGCCACGCTTTTCGCGTCGTCGACGACAAGAAAGACGATGTTGAGCAGAAAAACGGCCACTTGGTATTTATTTGTTTACAGTATGGATGGGAGGTCCCGGATTGGGCCCCTATCGGCCGGAATACGAGGTAGGAGGGGGTATATTCTAATAGGGAACAAGGATAGGGGTGGTGGGGGTCGGGTTCCGGGGTCAGGGGGCGGCGTGGCGAAAGGGGTGGAGGGGGGGAGGGGTGCAGCCAAAGGAGGGGAGGGGGGGGGTTCGAACCCCCCCCCCCCCTTTGAAAGGGGGGAACGGCGGTGAGGTTCCCGTCGACGGACCAGGAAAGGGGGGGGGGGTCCCCGACGACGGATCGGGGAAGGGGGGGAGGGGGGGGGTCCCGTCGCCGGCGGCTTCGCCGCCACCAGCACGAGCAATCTTCAGCAGCGTGGTCGCCAACCTCAGAACCCCACGGGTTGTCAATCTGAAGGGTGCTGAAGGCACTTGGACAGCATTTTCGGCGCGCCCAGGGGGACGTTGTCCGTTTGAGGGCGTTTATGAGGAGTCCAGCGCCCTGGAGCGAACATGTCGGGGACGCATCTTCAAAAACATTATACTGACACGAATAGCCGCTGCAAATGAAATTCTAGACGCTTCGGGTATCCCCACCAGTCCGCTTAGTGGTTCGGCCTTCCGCGCTCGCGTAGCCTCGTGTTTTCCACAGCGCTCTGCCCGGTTTCACCGTTCAGTAGTTCGGCGTGGGCAGGTGGCTTGGAGTCTGGCGCCGAAGCGGCGACTCACTCCGCTGTATTCGCACATTATGCAGCTCGCTTACTTCGGTTAACGCTGCTGCGCCTATGTGCGTTTGCTTGGAAATTAGTTAAGTTTGTTCTGTGCATGTGCAACTGCGCTCTTGCTTTGCAGGTGCGAACTGGCTTGCCGACATTGGCGGCTGTGTTCGCAAATTCGCTCCGTGCCGCATCCCGGACGCCGCTTCCGCTTCTTGACCGTCGCCTTGGAGTTGCCGACCAAAAAACAAATCCCACCAACCCATCCAGAAACGATGTCCAGGCGAGTTGAGGTGATCAGAGACTTGCGGCAGCAAAGTGGAGGACGGCCGAACCGTGCAAAGGAGTGAGGAGAAACAGAGGAGGTGGATGGATGGATGGATGGATGAGGGAGTGGGAAGAAGGAGGATGAATAGGACGAGGAGGAGGCGGAGGAGGAAGAGGAGGAAGAGAACGAGTAGGAGCAGGAAGGAGGAACAGGAGGAGGAGGAGGAGGACAAGCACAAGGGCCAGAGGTCTCCTGGATGCCTCTCGGAGCCTCTTGGAGTACCTCTTGGGCGATTCTTTGTGGCCTCTTGGAACGTCTTGGGGGTCTCTTGGCGAGCCTGGGGGGTTCTTCGGGGTCTTGGGTGCCTCGGGGGGGGCCTCTTGGGGCCGCTTAGGGTTTTCTTTGGGGCCTCCTGGGGGCCTCTTGGGGGCCTCGTGGGGCCATTTTTGGGCCATCTTGGGACCTCTTGGGGCCTCCTGGGCGCTTCTTGTGGCCATCTTGGAGGAGATCGGTCAACGAAGGGGGGCCCCTCAATTAAGTAAGATCCCCCCCAGGAGGCCAAAGTGGGGCCAAAACCCTAGTGAAGTCAACAATTGTGGCTTCCTCGCCGAGGCCGTTTTGGACGCTCTAACTACCCGCGGCGCCCCCGGCCAGGTCTAGGGGAGGGGGTAGGGGGAGGGGTAAACCCCTCCCCGAAGGGGAAGAGGGAGGGGTGGAAGAGGACACGCCCTAAACCACCGACGCCCAGAGGGCTGGTGGGATTGAACAAGCCGTGCCAACCACGTCAAAGACCAAAGGGGGGACTCCTCCAACAGCCAATGTAAACATTCTTGTTCGAAGGAATCGCCCCCTCGAAAGACTTGCGCACCATGGGCCTACCATGTCAGCGAGCGCGCCGACTTGGAAAACAGGAAGCTGTCCACCCGCCTCGACTACCTGAAAGAGACGGGCAGAGGTATGACCCTCAATATGATCAAGGAAGTGTCCAGCGGGAACTTCGTTTCGTACACGAACCACCCTCCGTATCTGCAGATGCCGTTGCTTTACAAATCGGGCGGTATGTCGGAATTAATGTTATCTGGCGTGTACCCCAACCAGTAAATTATTCATGACACTTTGGATGTGCGGTACAAGAGATGTGGTGCAAGCTATGTTGTGCCATATGTGTCGTGCAATCTGCATGGTGCAAGCTGTGTGGTCCAAGCTATGTGTTGCAATCAATGTGGGGCAAGCTGTGAAATAGTACAATCTACGTGGTGCAAGCTATGTGTGTAAGAAACAGGTCGGTGGGGTCAAGTTATGTGTGCAAGCTATACGTGTAAGAAACAGGTTTCGGCGGAAGGGGCCTACGACGCGGCGGTGGTCGCGGCGGACGGGGCCTAGGACGGTCTAGGAGGGCCGCCGCGGCCACCGCGGCCGCCGCCGCGCAGGGCTCGGAGCGTTCCGGAAGCTTTCGCAATGCCTGGGGTGCCTCGGAAACTTTCGGAAGGCCTCGGCAATCTTCGGAAGGCATCGATCATCTTTCGAAAGGCCTCGGGGGGCTTCGGAAGCCTTAGCAACGCATCGGGAATCCTTCGGAAGGCTTTGGGGGACTTCGGAAACTTCTGGAGGGCTTCGGAAATCTTCAGGACGAGCTCGGAAGGCCGCGCGCGACTGCCGACGTGACCGCGCGCCCTCGCGGCGCGCGGCGCGGCGGCGAGCGCTGAGGGGGGGGGGGCGGAGAGCAGCCAGGGGTAGCCGGGGTCAGCCGGGGGCAGCCGGGGGCAGTCGGGGGCCGCCCGCCTCCGCCGAAGATTGGAGACTGAGGGGCAGCCGGGGGGTAGCCCGGGGCAATCGGGGATTAGCAGGGGGTGGCCAGGGGTAGCCGGGGGAGGCGGGGAGGGGGCGGGGGGGGCGCGCGGAGAGCCGCGATCGCGCGCCTGCGCGCCGACGGAGGCGCCGAGCGCGAGATCGCGCCGCTGGGGGCACCCGCGGGCCCCGGACGGCGCGCTAACGCGCGATCGCGCCTCGCCCGCGCTTCCCCCGCATCGCTCCACCTGCTTGGCGCGACTCGCGAGGGTCCGAGGGCTCCTCCTCCTCCTCCCCCTCCTCCTCCTCCCGCCCCCTCCGCCTTCTTTGCCTCCTCTCTCCTGCGTCCACTCCTCCTCCTCATCCTCCTCCTCCTCCTCCTCCTCCTCCTTTTCTTCCTCCTCCTCCTCCTCCTCCTCCTCCTCCTCCTCCTCCTCCTCCTCCCCCTTGCGTCAGTGCCCGCCGCCAGGCGGGCGGAGGGCGGTGAACATGTCCAAGTTGCGGTCCCGTTCGCGGAAAATGGGGTCGTTTTGAGTTGGCCTCAATCTCGGCCGATTGCATCTCGCGGTGCCTTTTCGCTTGGATTTTCTTGGCATCTGGATATCGGGGCACTGGGTTTCTCTGTGTCTCAGGTGTTGTTCGGATGTGGTTGTTCTGCGTGGTACAAAAGCATGAAGAACTTCATGCGCGATCGTCGTTTGCGGTTGCTTTCGCTCATAATTTGGTTGGCCAGCTGCGGTTTGTCGCTCACGCGTAGTGCGCAGGCGGGGTTTGATTTTCGCGTCGTTGTCGACATGTGCTGTCGTTTTGCTAGATTGCATGCGTTTGTGCTGGCTTTCGGAAGCAAGAAACGAGCTCTTTGTTTTTTCGTGTCGGCAAAACCGAAAACCGCTGATTCCTGACATCGAAAAACACGCTTGGTGCGCCCACCGCCCCCCAGCGACCTGCTTCTTACAGCTATGTGGCGTGGCGCGCGGTGCATCCCAGGTGGTGCAATCTGCGCGGCGCAAGCGACGCGGTGCAAACTACGTGGTGCACGCAGGCTACGCGGTGCACTCTACGCTGTGGAAGATGCGTGGAGAGAGACATATAATACAGACATATAGAGAGAGAGAGAGAGAGAGAGAAAGAACAAATATACAAAACAGAGAGAGACAGAGAGAGCGAGAGAGAGAGATAGAGAGAACGAACAACGAAGAGAGAGAGAGAGAGAGAGAGGGAGAGAGAAGGTATCATATCATATATATATATATATATATCATATATATATATATATAGATATACATGTGACGAGAGATACGGAATTTATAGTCGAATCGAGAGAGGGAGAAGAGAGAGAGAGAGAGAGAAAGAGAAGCATCTAAGTCGCGCAGGCTATGTGGGGTGAGCCATGCGGTGTGAGCTACGTGGCGTGAGCTGTGGGGGCTTAAGCTATGCGGTGTTGCGACAGGGCGGGAACGGGGCCGCCGTGCCTCCAGACAGGCCCAGTTCCTTTCGGGAGGGAAAGACACACAGACACAATTAATCGTCGATCCCCTGGAAAATATATGAAAAAAAGGGAAGTGGGGGGGGATGGCAGAAACCCAGAAAATATGGGAACAGATGCTGCATCTTCTTATTCGTGTGTATTTATGTGTGTGTCCTGGGGCCCCTTTTTCATCCTTGACATGCAGGCAATCAGAACAACAGATATAGAGTGCGATCGTTGATTGGAAACTCGCAAGTTAGAGCCTCATCCGCGAAGCGGTTGCACAACTCCCATAGTCTATCGCACGGCGAGCGCGAGGGAACGCGAATCGAGAACTCCACTTTCAAGCGGTGCCGCCGTCCACCCGAGTAGATATCATAGCTTTGCTGGGAAATCGGGCGCATCGTCAAGGCGAGAGCTTCCATTTGAAGATCAACCAACCGCCCTCCATCCGCCGTAGCCGTTGGAAGTGCTTGAGAGGAACGGTGACCCCGTCGAGGCGAGAGATCCATTTAGAAAGCGAGCCGTTTTCATCCTTCCGCGTAGCTTGTTCAAGCGAGGCGTCGCTGTTAGTTTGTTCGCGGGTTGATCCAAGGAAAGAGGAGGGCGAAGGAGGGGGGAGCGCGAGATGGGAGGAGGGTCGGGGCGGAGGAAGGCGACGAGGGGGATGAGAAGTAGGAGGGGGAAGAGGAAGAGGACGAGGAGGAGGAGGAAGAGGACGAGGGGAAGGCGGAAGGAATGAGCGGGGGCAGGAGGGGCGAGGCGCAGGGAAGGGCGCGGGCGGGGGCGGGGCGAGGGACGGGGGGTGGGGGCGGGCGGGGGGGCGGGCACTGCAGGGGCCCTCGGTGCCTGCGCGGATGGTTTGGGGGCACCGCGGCGCGAGGCCCTCTTCCTGCTGCGGCGCGGCGCCGACCCCGAGGCGCGCACCCGCCGGGGCCAGCTGCCGCAGGACATGGTCGCGGCGGAGCAGGCCGCGGGCCCCGCGAGGCCCCGGCAGCCCGAGAGCGAACACCTCGTGCGTCTGCTGGCGCTGGCGCGGTCGGACAGCCCGCCCGACAACGCCTGGCCCGGCTGCGGCGCGCCGACCTGCTCCTGGTGCCCTCAGCCAGGGCGGCGGGGCATGTGCACGCCGGGTTCGGCCCCAGACCCCCTCGAGTTATGGAAAAATCGCAGCGGGAGGCTTTTCATCATCTTTGGCCTTTGGGGGCCCTTACCGACCCTCGGGACCGTCAGAAAACGACTCAGGACCAAAAACCGGTCCCGGGGAATGGGTCGAGACCTCGGGGGGTCGACGTCGTGAAAAAATCATGACGTCGGGGGTCTGGGTTTCACGCCGAAGACCGCGGGGAGTCGCCGAAGACCGCGGGGAAAACCGCCAGAAGTTACCGAAAGAACCGCCGAAGACCGCCCGGGGCAGACGGGTGACCAGGGGCCCACTGGCGAATGCGTAGCGCCATAGGTCACCCCCACCCCCTGGGGCGCCAAGGTCGTCGCGCTGCGCGCACCGGGGCCCGGGGTCGGAGAGACGCCCTCGCCCAGGGTGGCGGCGCGAGGGCGCGGAGCGGAGACAGCCGCGCATCGCGGGGCGCGCTGCGCGGAGTTGCACGTCGGTCGTTGGAAGCGCGTATTTCTGGAGTCCCAGATCCCAATCTATTCCAGGCGCCTTCCTATTTCAAGAGTCGTCATGTCTTGCTCGTGTTTGGTAGTCTTTGGGCGTGCCCCTGTCCACTCTGTGTGATCTGCGTTCCCCCTTCATGATTCGACGTACTTCTTCCGACCGACGGGCCCATGGCTTAGGCACATTCGAAGACCAAACATCTGCACGGATCTCTTGGATCGGCGTTCGGCTCCCTTGGCGGCGCCTCCAGCGCCGCCCTTGGCGCGCTCCGCGCGTCATGGAGAAGGTTCCAGCGCCGATCTAAGAGATCCGCACGGACCTGCGAAACATTATGTTTATGCAGTTTCCCTTTCGAGTATATAGTTATGTGTATATATATATATATATATATGTATCCATCGCCGCTGGCCGTGTCGGCGTGTATAGATCTCGTCGCCCTACCATATTTTCGCTCATCACCCCGACTGCTGCTTGCGGCCAGGCCCCCGACTTCTATCATAGCGTATGAGCACATTGGGTCGGAGGATCGCGCCGCATCGCCGACGTGGAGCTCGAGTGGAGCTCGAGTTCCTCCACACCGATGGCGCCGATGAATCGCCGACGCCGCCAATGCATCGCCGATGCATCGCCCGTGCGGCACGAAGAGGGAGCGGATTGTGGAGTATGCGGCCTGTGGACGCTTTCATGAATGGAAGGCGTCATTTTTCCGTCTCGCTGTTTCCTGTTAGTGGGAGGCGTCATTTGCCCTGTCGGATCCGCGGCGAGCTCATCTTGCGCAAGTGTCATATTCCTCACGCTCCCCACGTTCGGTCGGGGCGACTCCCCAAAGCCTGGGGCCAGAGCCTCCAGAAGTTCGAGCAACCACCCGATCGATCTGCCTGACTCCGGGCGCACGCAGTCCATGCGCAGTTCCGCCGAGGGGGCGGGGGGGGGGGGGCAGGGCGGTGAAATGGCGCGGGATGATTCCCGGGGGGGGAGCCAAAACAAATAAACATTGTGCGGGGGGTATTTGGCGGATGTTTGTTGTCTTTGTTTCTTTGTTCATTGCCCCCCCTGAGCCACGAGGTTGCCCCTGTAAATGGCAGCGTTTGGTGGCCATGCTCCTGCGCTGCCCCTCATTACGCCCCTCCCTCTCCTTCCCCTCTGCCTCCTTCTCCTTTTTCCTCCTCCTCCTCCTCCTCCCCTCCTCCTGCTGCTCCTCTCTCCCCTCATCCTCTTGGGGGGGAAATGGGGGAAGAGGAGGAGGAGGAGGAGGAGGAGGAGAAGGAGAACTTGAGGAGGCAAAGTAGCCGGAGGAGGGAGAGGAAGAGGAGTACTCATTCTTCGTCGTCCTCCCGGTCTCCTCGCCATCCTCATCTTTGGTTTCGACCTCCTCCTCCTCGTGCTTCCCCCCTACTTTTCCTTGTCCTCATCATCCGCCTGCCCCTCCTCATCCTGCTCATCCTCCTCCTCCCCGTCTCCCTCCGATCCTCTTCCCCATATAATTCCTGACCATTTTCGACGTGCTACCCCCCGCCGCGGATATGACCTTGGAACTGAATCGGAGGAGTCGTACCACATGTAGAGGACGCTGTATGTTTGGCTCTAGTACGATCGGCAACATTAGCTGTGGTTGCATCCAGAGCAAGAGCAGCTGTAAGCCCTGTGGTAAAAGCTGTGAAGGGGGCCGTACAATTGGCTGTCGTGTGATCTGCGGTGCAATTTGTTATTTGAGCTGTAGTAGTGGCAGTGATGGTGTGAGCGATTGGAGTATTGGTAGCAATGGGAGTCGCACTAGAAGCTGTGTCGGGGAATTGACGTAGAGCCTGCGTTCATACATGGAATGGGCATTGAGGTGTGAGGTGTGGCGAGAGCAGTACTCCTGGCGCCACGGGAACTGTACCAAGTGCTGTCTTGGGCGCGGCATTCAAACCAATAGTAGCGGTTGCAGTTGGAAGTTCAGCAGGAGCTTCATTACAACACAATACTGAAGGCTGTACTTGGCCGCAGTCGGAATTGCAACAACAGCTGCGAGTGGTAATGTTGTAGGGCAGATTCACAGCACGCGTTTGATTGAGAGTTTTGCTGGTGGTTGTTTTGCGGTACGATCAAAGGAAGGATTTGCGGTATGGGTTGTAGTCGAAGTTGTAGTAACAGCAGTCGAAAATCAAATGTCCGAGTTGTGTTATTGGTTGCGGCACGAGTTACGACTCAGTTTTAGTAGGGGCAGCAGCCAGTAGATTATGTTACTGGATCTGTATGATTGGCAGTGCCAGGGATGTGCACTAGAAGCTGTATAGCAATATGTGTTCTCCGTTGTAGTAGAAGTTGTGGTGTAAACTCCCACGGCGGCCTGCAATATGTATTGCTTTTGGGGTTGCATTTGGAAATGCATTGGGAATTTGGATTGGGATCTGTACGGCGTGCGGCAACTTAATTGTGCTAGGGGCTATAGGTCATTGCTGAACAGCAGAACGTTGCATTACTAGCCCAACTGGGGGTCACATTAACAGCTGCACCAGGATATGTTTCATGATGAATGCCATCAGCTGTAGCACGGCCTGCCTCAAGAGTTCAACTGGCAGGTAACATGTGGATGTCTTTATTAAAAAGATGTTGTAGGAGTTGTATGGAGAGCCAGTGTACGAAATCTAGTCGGGGCTCTAGTGATAGTTGTAGCAAGAGGAGCTTTAATGGGGACTGTCCCAGTGGTTGCAGAAGGGGCTGTAGCACGGCCTGCTGGAGGAGCCCCGGTACTGGGAGGTAGTATGCGTTGTAGTGGGAGATGTAGCCCTGCTGGCAGAGCTGCATCGGGAGTTGCACGAGCGGTTTGGTGCGAGGGTCTGCACTCTGAAAGTATGGTAATATATGCGGCGTACCTTGTAGTAGGAACTGTCGTGTCTGTCGTGCCACTGGCTGCGCGGGGAACTGTGCGTGGAGCTGTAGTGACAAACTCGGTTGAAGCTGTGTTGGGTTCTGCGCGGCTGTTTCTGAATGGGTTTGTAGTAGGAACGATGGTCGGGGCGTGCGTGAAAACTGCACTAGTGTCTGCAATCAGAAGCGCATGAAGCATAGTGCCAACATGCGTTGTAGGGTGTGCAACTGATGCTTCGTCTGGAAAACGTTGCATGGGTTCTAGTGGACGTTGTCTTGCCGATTGGTAGAACCTGGCGTAGGAGCCACACTATGAGCTGCAAGGGGAGCTGTCATCGGATTGCAATACGTCTTGCAGCGGGAGTTGCAGAAGGAATTGTCGCAGAAGTTAGCGGGATCCGTCCTCCAGTCCGCCGCAGGAGTTTCCGCGAGACTTGTTGTGCAATGTGTGGTCCAGTTGTTGTAGGACATCTTGTAGGTGGATGCGTTAGCTGCGTAGGGTGCGCTGCTGGCTGCCGCATGCGCTAGCCTAAGAGCTGAAATGCGAGCTGTCTGGGAAGCTGTGCGGCGGCTGGACGTAGGAGCCGCAATCGGAGCTGTCGTAAGAACTGGCGCGAGAAGCGCGAGCGAGAGCTGAGTGGGCGGCGGGGGGCGCGGGGGGGGGGCTGCGCGAGACGCAGTCTGAGCTCGACGATTGGTTGCGCAGGGGTCCCCGCGTTGGAGTTGCAATGCTGCGTTAGCCGGCGCGGGCCTCAAACGTCGCGTTCTAGCAGACCAGCAGATGCAATCCATGCGTTGCGAGCAAGGTGGCGCGGGCTACGTGGCGGAAGCTGCGTGGCGCGTCCTCAGCGATGCAAAGTGCGCAGTGCAACATGCGCGGCGCAGCGGGCGCGGGGGGGGGGGGGGGACTGCGCCATCTTCGCAGCGCCATCTACGCGGCGCGACCGACGGGCCGATGGAACGGAGAAGTACGCGCGGGGGGAGGGGGCGGGGGGCGGGGGCGCGGAGGCGAGAGGTGCACGGGGGGGAGAGGGTAGGTGATCCCGAAGGAGATGATGGCGGCGAGGTGGGGGGATGAGATCAGGGGAACGAGAGCGAGGCGCGGGGGCGCCCGAGCATCGCGCGCTGCGCGCGTTGCGCGAGGCCCCCGACCCTCCCCCCCCCCCCTCTCGCGCGCAGAAGTGAGCGACAAACGTTCGCGGCGCCGAGGCGAGAGCGTCACCTTTGACAGAGGCGCGCGCGCGCGCGGTGCCGAGGCGAACGTGCGAAATTGCAGGGGGCCAGCCGATCAAGATTAGCGGGAGGTCGCGAGGGTCTCTCAGCCGCGAAGGGCGCTCCCTATGCGAAGCTGACGCTTGTCGTCTCAAGCCTTAACAAGATGCGCCCGCCGCGCGGGCGGACGCGTTCACCTCGCGAGATTCGCCCGCATCAGAGGGCAACGCGCGCCCGAGAGGACAGCGCGCATCCGAGCGTAGAAGGAGGAGGAGGACGAAGAGGAGGGGGGGGGCGAAGAGGATAGAGGAGGGGGGAACGACGAGAGCGAGGCACCCAGTGATCCATGGACGACGGGGGCAGGCACGAGCGCGAACGCGACGAGGAGCGGGGAAGACGAACCGACGCGAAGGGGCCGCGCAAGGTGCCCACGAAGTAAACATGCGCCACGATGGCGCAAGGCACGCGCGGATGGGTTGGGCGCTCTAGGGCGCCAAGCATTGGAGCGCGAGTAGGAACGCGGGTGCACGCGCGCGACGTATGTCTCTTCGCGCGCTGCGCGAAATGCAGGGGCGAACCGCCACTGGCTCCGAAACGCCAGACACTCCAACGCGAAATGGCAACACTCAGACCACGGCACCAAACACCACGACAACACAACACAACACAACGCAACGCATCATCAGCATGCGCGCTATTAGGATGCATGTTAAGTAAGGTAGAGGAAGATGCAGACATATTGCCGGGGGGATCTGCGTGCACCCTTCGCGGGCGCGGCCAGTTCATCGCGCTGCGTTTGGGCTGGGGATGCCCCTCGGCAGTTGGAATTCATGGTCGCTCTTGGTTGGTGCGAACAGCGCTCGAGGCTACCGTGCGCCAGTGTTTTTTCAATCAAGAACTGAAAGGGCGTTTGAAGCAGGAGAAGAGCAGGAGGATAGCTGCTGGGAATGCGATGCAATAGCCAGGTCGCACTCGAGCGCAAGTGGGTTTGCCACGCCTTGCGACGCGTGTACCAGGGCCCCCCGGGAAGCCTCCGGAGGCCTCAGGATTGTGAGTGTTGTGTGTGTGTGTGATGTGTGCTCTGTGTTGTGCGTGTTTTCTTTGCGTTGTAGGTGTTGTGTGTGTCTGTGTGTTATGTTGGTCTAGCGTGTGATGTGTTGGGTGTGATTTGCGTCTCTGTGTGCGCATGTAGTTCTGAGGCCCCAGGAGGCCCCAGGCGGCCTCAGGAGGCCCCAAGGGGCCCTGGGAAGCTTCAGGAGGCCCCGAGAGGCTCCAGGAGGCCGCAGGAGGCCCCGGGAGGTTCAGGAGACCCCCGGGAGGCTCCGAGGCGGGGCCCGGGGTACCAGAAGGTTCAGACAGCCCCAGGAGGCCCCGGGAGGTTCCAGGAGGCCTCCAGGAGGCTCCGAGGCGGGGTCTGGGATAACAGAAGGCACGTCGGGGCTCCATTTGGGGAGGACGTCCCAGGCGGAACAGCCATTATTTTGAGAATCGGGGCCAACGTCATTGAAATTACAATGTGATTTTGAAGGTTTTATGTTAGAATTTTGAAATCCCCGCGTTTGGGGACCCTGACGTCACGATCTGTGCGAGGGGCGCCACCGATTCAGAATTTTACAGATGCCCCTAGCGAAACGGCCAGAACATCGCGAACGACGCGGCGCGTAAGCATTAATCGCCTCTGAGCTCTACTCGGAGAGGTGCGTAGGTTTGGGGGGGCAGCAATGGGCAAAAGTGGTGGGTGTTGTTCTGACGGTGCTTGTTATTCTGTCGATTTGCTTTTCGATTTGCATGTCGACGTGCATTGGAAAGCGCGCCGCGGCGCCTTGCGATTTGCATTTGGATGCGCGAATCGATTCGAATTTCGATGTGTTTTCAGTCTTCATGTCGGTTTGCATGCAGACTTCAAGTGGATGGCTCGCCGCAAGCGGCGACGCTTTGAATTGCGCGACCCGCGGCGGGGCACCGGCGAGACACCAGCGGGGCACCGCGGGCCACCGCTCGACGGGGGGGGCATCATCTTGTCCGGCCGCGGCCCAGCCACAGGAAGATCTCGGGGCACCAGCGGGACACAGGCGGGCCACCGCGCGCCACTGGCCGCCGGGGGGGGATCATTTGGCCCGGCCGCGGCCCAGCCGCAGGAGGATTTCCCCGCGCAGTTTCGCCTCGCCCGCGCGCGCGGCGCGCACGAACGCGAAACCGACACCAATTTCCCGGCGGGGGGCCCCCCGCCCCACTTCGATCTCGCCCCCAACCTCCGATATCTCTATATATAGATATAGATATAGATCTGTGTATAGATATATGTATATATAGATGTGTGTGTATATATATATCGGATGTTGGGGGGTGATCGAAGTGGAACGGGGGGCCCCCCACCGGGAGATCGGCGTCGGTTTCGCGTTCGCGCGCGCCGTCAGAGGTTGGGGGGTGAGATCGAAGTGGGACGGAGAGCCCCCCACCGGGAAATCGGTTTCGGTTTCGCGTTCGCGCGTGCCGTGCGCGCGGGCGAGGCGAAGCTGCGCGGGCGGGCGAGAGGAAAGTCTCTTGTGACTGAGGCGCGGCCAGACCAACTGATTCCCCCCGCGGTGCCCCGCCGGTGTCCCGCCGGTGTCCCGCTTGTGGCTGGGGCCTGGCCGGGCCAACTGATTCCCCCTTCGGCAAGCGGCGGCCCGCGGCGTCCCGCCGGCGCCCCGCCGGCGCCCCGCCAGTGTCCCGCTGGTGCGAAAACGGTGAGACCGATAACGAAATCGATTGTGAGTGAGACCTATAGTGAGATCGATCGTGAGATCGATTGTGACATCGAGTGATATCGATAGGGGCATTGTGAGGCATCCGCCGCCGGCCCGCCCCCGCCGCCTCAACGCTCCGACGCTCGACCGCGCGGCGCCGGGAAAGCAGCGGGCGCGCGCCATCCCCGACGAGCTCCGAAGAGGCACCCAAGAGGCCCCCAAGAGCCCCCCAAGAGGCCTCCAATACCCCCCAATAGGTACGCGCCCAAACGGCCCCCCCAAGTCTTTGCAAAATGAACGAAATGAATAATTATTTCGCTGGCCCCCGGGGGGGGGGAAAACGCCAAGGCGCCCAAGAGCGAAGGGCGACGTAAACAACTCGACACCATTGCCCCCGAGAGCGAGCGGCAACGCAACAATCACCACCGCGCCCATTGCTGCCCGCCCCCCAGACTTCCTTATCACCCGCAGGGTGGTCGTGTAGGCGCAAGACTGCAGCGGCGCCTCGCGCCGCGCACCTTGGCCCTTGAAGTTTGGCGCGCAGGCGGATTGGCAGGAAGGTCGAGCCGACAATTTAGCAATGACTCATTATTGCCTTTTCCAGCATGGCCGCTAAAATGCTATTATTCGCTACCTTCCTCCATGCTTCTTTTTCCTAGTTCTCGCCATGCCCCGCGCATTTCCCCCGTCCTCCTCGGCTCTTGATTGCGGAGGTTCCTCCTTCGAGAGCCTCTGGGGGCCTCGCAAGAGTTTCAGGCTTTCCTAAGAGGCCTTCTGGAGGCCTCCTGGGCGTCCTCTGGAGGTCCAGGGGGCTTCCTCGGGCCGCCCAACATCTAACTGCGGTCTCCCAGAAGGACCGGGTCAAGATTTGGAATGCGTCGGAGGGTGTCTCGGGGCCGTCTTGGGCCGCCACGGGGCTCTCTCGGGGCCAGATTTGTCACCTGTTGTGCCGTTTTGGGTCTATCCTGGATTGCCTGGAGGCCCTGTCGGATGGTTGCGGCGCGATGCTGGAGCCTCCCAGGCGGCTTCGGACGCCCAGGAGATTGCCGCCTTGGAGCGACGGGAATCCGAAAAGAGGAGAAGCCCACAATTCACCCAAAACCTTCAGAGAATCAATGATTTGTGCCTCTTGAAGCCTTTTTGGGAGTGTTCCTGGAGGCTTTTTGACGCTTTCAGGGCCGTCCTGGAGGCCTCTTGGGCCATGTTGAGGTCACGTCGGTCACTCTTGGAGCGCTCTTGCGCTGTCTCGGGGGTCTCTGGGGCGCCTCCGATGACCCCCCTGATCGCCTTATGCGCGCTGGCAAGGCTCGGCAAAACGCCGGCCCGGGGGGGCGCCTCGAGGCCCGTCCGGAGGGCCCCAAGGGCCCAGATCCCGGGAGTCTGTTTTTTTCTTACCGGGAGGGCTTCCCCCCGCCCGGATTCATAAAAATGTTGGAAGAGGAATGTATGAGGACACGGGTAAGGGGGGCGTTCCGTTGGTTTCGTGTATGGAAAGCGGAGCGACCGACCGTCCGAGAGCATCGAGCCCTTCAGTCAATCTCTCCAATGGGTTGCCGCGTGGGATTGGCATCTGGCTTGCTTTCGCTACTCCAGTTGGCCGGGCGCCCCCAGCGAGTGCGGTCCCGTCACTTGCGGCAGACGCTCTTCGGAACTGCGGTGGTTGCCCGTGTAGTTGTTTTTCCCCCGCTGCGATGTTTGCTCGCGCGTTCTGCGTTCTCCCGCTGGCCTCAGCACCCAGTCAGAGTAGAACGCGGGCCTCCCAAAGTGCGCCGGGCCCGACGTTCAGACTGCGCAGGTCAATGAGAGACGCATGGGGCCGGGCCATGTTCCAGCCCGTCCGCGCGCAGTCCTGGCGGCGCGCCCGCGACGCGGGCCATGGCCGTCAATGAGAAGGCCAGGTTCGACGTGCGATGTTCTCCAGATTCCTCCACTGAGAAACTGTCGGCAGCACGCGCAACCGTCTGCGCAGAGCTGCTGGCGTCGCCGTGGGAGCTGTTGACCGCGTTTCGCAAAGTTCAGGGAGTTGATCCGGCTCGGGGGCCAGTTCCTGGAAAGTCCGCGGCCAGCAGGGCCGCGAATGACGACGTCGGCGACAGGCGTGCTGACGCGGACAGGATCAGCCAGTTGCCAGAATATAGGGCGCGCGAAGCTTTCCGCACAAAGGACCGCAGATTGTTCACATCTCTCGCAATAAAGGCCATCGACAAAACGCATCGGGAAAACTGCAACAGGATCTTCGATATTCTCACTGAGATGAGGTCCGTGTACACTGTCATCGAGGATTCGACAAGCGTGAAGAACATGGCCCGCCTTGTCGAGGTCATGCACCGTGCTCTCGGGCCTCGCTGGCCGTCGCCGTGCGTTTGCCATCTTGGGTTACCAGACCCACGCTGGAAGCATCTTGGAGATCTCAGGTTTGGCGAGCCAGACGAGCGGGGAAAGATCGCCGAGTTGATTCATGTTCTGGGTGCTCGCGTGGCGGTCTCGAAGAAGCAGAACGTGAACTCCGAGCGGCGTTGAACAACTGGAGCGACAGGTTCGCGCAGGCGACCGATAGGGATTCGTTCTTCATGTGCTTCGCGAGGCTCGGTAGCCAGTCCGGCCAAGTACGGCGCCAATTCGCCGGGAGTTCAGCCAAGGCGCTGAAGCACGACGCAGGAGGTAATTAAGACACTCGACGTGGAGCTTGCAGAGACGTCGTCAATTGACGCGAGGATTTCAGATACACTAATGGAGGCGAAGAGGGAGTAGAGGCGCAGGAACATTCAGGGACCACCCGAGCATGACTTTGTTCCTAGCAAAGAGGCGCGGCCAGCGTCCCTGACTGCGCCGAACAATGATCTTGATATGCGTTGATACCATGTGATATTTTCCCTTGCCTGGGCAGCGAGCCCAGGGCTCTTCGGGGGCGCTGCGCACGCTGCGCGTTATTGTCTACACCCGCGCGCATTTGAATGCGATCGGCCCCTGCGCTGATGCGGCGCGTGTCGCAGAGCTCTTGGCCTGGCCTCTGGGGCAGCGCGCGCGTGAAACCATTGAGATCTACACCATAAGCCGCGCGCATCGCGCCCCGAAGGCCCTTGCATTATCATTGCCCACCTGAGCAGCAGCGCTCTGACTTGCGGACGTTTCTTTTAACAATGCCAGCATTCTTCAATTTAGCCAGCGGGTGCAATTTCGCTGCAGCCACTCGCGGCCCCCCTCGGCAATTTCTCTGGCCGTTGCTGTTGCCGGCGGATGCGGCGATGACAGCGATTGCGATCGGCGCCAGTCGCGAATCACGAATCGCCATTGGCGCCGATCGCGACAGCTGTCGCCGTCGCAACCGCCAGGGCATCGACGGCTCTGATTGGCGTCGGCTCCATCGCCGTCGCCCCCTCCTCAGTCGCTGATCGCCGCCGCCGACGGCGCCTCGTCTTCATCGCCCTCGTCGTCGCCAGCCTTGCCACCCCTCGTCGCAAGCGGGGCCGCAGTCGAGGTCCGCCAGCAGGCGGGCCGCCACGCTCGCTGCGAGGCGGGCGGCGAGCAGGGGGATAGCGCGCGCCCGCCCATGTCAGGCGCCCCTTCGGTTCGGAGGAAGCGTTGAGGGGGCGAGCGCAGACGAGGAGGAGCGCGGGGGCGGCGGGGCATCTTGCGCTGCTTTCGCTGCAGCTGCGCCGGCCCCCGGCGCGGCCCGAGTTGCCGAGTGCCCAGGGAGCGCGCGACCTCAGGTTGCGCGGCGATGGATGTAGACGTCGGCGCTTTGGCCCCCGTCGATGGCGACGCGGCGGGCGCCGCGGCGGGCGTGGGCGACGACGGCGCCGCTCAGCTGGCGGGTGGTCGCGGCGCCCTCGGCCCGCGACGCCCAGCTTGCCCGCGGCGCGCAGGCGGCGCGCGACGCCGCCATCGAGCTCTGGGCCGACCCAGTCAGGAGACATCTTTACCTGACGAACCGACGGACGAGACCGCGAATCTACTCCCCCAGCCAGCGGGCGCGGGCCTCTGTCTCATGCATTCGCAGAACAACTACGCCGACATCGACAGCCCACGCGAGTCGCACCGGGTGATCGGCCTAGAATGGAGATTGTTCTGGGGAGCGCACGGGTGGCGCAAATGCCAGTGTGAGAAGCTCCCGCGCATCTTCTGCGCCCCAAGTGGTTTTCCCGCTCACAGCGCCTCTAGCTTGCCGGCCTTTCGCCCCCGCGAGTTGCGGCAGCCAGGGCGGGAGCGACTTGCGAAAGTCCAGCCCGTTCCCCCGCTCGGCTGCCCGTGGGCGACGGGGTTCTGCGGGCGCCGCGCAGTCGTGCCAGACCAGGGCGAGGCGTTCATCAGGTCCGCGGACAGCGACGCCACGGAGTGGATCGACAGCTTCGCGGGCAGGCGCAGGGCCGATGAGGTTGCATTCGTTCGCCCAGTCGGATCGCAGAGCACCGGGTGCATGATGGTCGCGGCGTGGGAGAACCCGCAGCATGATGCGTCGGCGCGGGCATCGCTTTGGAGCGTCTTCGGCGCGGCGCAGCCCCGCGTCGACGCGAGCGGGGGCCCTTGGTTTGCGAACCGACGGGGCGCCTGGCATCGCGCGCTGCGCGCGCGGCGGCATTATCATCGCCTTCGCCAGAGCATGCCGCACTCGAACAAGAGAGAAGTGTTGTCGAAGGAGGAGCTCCCGATGCGCGTCCTGACGTTCCCGTCGGTCAGTGCTGCCGGCGCGACGCGCATGCGAATTCAGTGGGGGCCCGAGAAGCACGGCTCGCACTTCGAGCGCGAAGTCGACCGCGCGTCAGCCGACGATTATTTCGACAGCCTTGCCGCCATCATCCAGAACGGCAGCATCAGGATTAACGTCGACGCTGTCGCTCGGAGGATTGCACCGTTACCGCGCCGCGGCCAGGGTTTGGCGAGGTCGCGCAAACAAATGCATAAACGCAAATCTGAGTTTCTCGCCGATTTCGGATCGGCGCTGCACCCCCCCCCCCCCCCGGCGCGCAGAACGCGCCAGTGGTTTCCTCAGAAGCGCCTCCAGGTCCAGTGCCGATCCAACAAATCTGCGCGGTGCTCCTATTGCGATGCAGCTTCTTGCTCCTCTGTTTGAATAGTTGCAGGTGGTCTCGGGGCCGTCTGGAGGCTGTCGCGAGGCCGTTGTGGGCTTTGTCGCGCGTTCGTCTCGGGTCGCGTTCGGCCTCTTGGCGGGGCCAAACGGGCGGGGGAGGTTCTGGGCCGCTGGGTCGCCGTCTGGGGCATCCAACCAGGAGCCGTATTGAGGCGTTCCAAGGCTGTGAGCATATCAGCCACAGGTCCAGCGCGGACCGCAACCGCGAATCAGCTCAGTCTCATGGGTGGGGGAAGGGCGCGGCAGCTTCGCGTCGGGCCGACGCGGCTGCGACCCCGCGCGGACGGTCAAGGTCGATCGCCGCCGGCGGCCAAAATCAGCCACTATGGAACGACGTGGCGGACCAAAAGCCGACGATCATTCAAGGTTGAACGATCCATGCGGCGTCAGAAACCAGCGCCGGAGTCGCCGCGACAACAGCCCGCGGGGCGCACGCAACGGGGTTCAGCGCTAACACTGCCCAGCCAGAGCGCCGGATCCTGCAGGATCCTGCACAGCCGGAGTCTGGCCGAGCTGGGTTTGGGAGCCGCCCGCGGCCTCTGGGGTGGCCTTACAGATCAGCTACGGCCAGATTCGGGATGCCGCGAAGCCCAAGCCCCCCGCTGAACATGCAACGCATTTTTTCTGAATTGCTTCAGGTGGGTGTGCGGCGTGCCCGGCTGGTCCACGCCCGAGCTTGCCGTGATCAGGTCCAGCTTCGCAAAAAGACACCTACGGTCGGCACGCGGCCGCCGTCGCGCTGAGGAATCTCCAACCTCGGTCGCATCAGGTTCGGTCCGCCATGGCTTGGCGCCAGAGCTGGGCGCTGAAGTCGTGCTTTCTCGTGGCGAACCGAAATGTGCCTGCAGGAGTGGCTCAGCCCGCAGGCGGCAATGCGCCTCGCCCGTCGCCAGAGGCCCACCTATTTTCATGTATGCTGAACCTTTGAACAGGACCCCCAAGTTCCCATCGTGGGATCACTGTCGAGTGCGAACTTTACAAAAAGGGTTCTCTGCGCGCGCGGTCCTCGTAGCACGGTAGAACGCGCGCCCCAACCTTCAGTTGCGACGGGCGCGGCGTGACCCATCGGAGTAGTTTAAACGATTCCAGGTTCGTATACGTAGCACCCCGCAGTTGCGGATAAAAATGAGGGGGCGGCGGGGACGTCGGCAGTCTGCGAGACTCTGAAAAGAACCCGTCGCAGGCGCCAGATTTTTACAATGTCTACGACGATCCAGCCGCAAGTGCCGATTTTCATTCACGCGATGTTTGTGGGTCGCGGGGTGGGTCGCGTGTGGGTCGCGGGTTGGTCGCGGGTGGGTCGCGGCCCGTGTCGCAGGTGGGTCGCGGGTGGGTCGCGGGCGGGTCGCAGGTGGGTCGCGGGTGGGTCTCGGGGTGGGTCTCGGGCGGGTCGCGGGTTGGTCGCGGCGTTGGTCGCGGGTGGGTCCCGGGCGTGTCGCGGGCTAAGTCGCGGGCCAAGTCGCGGTGGGGACGACGAGAACAACCAGCAGCAACAGCAACAACAATCATTGCAAGACTGGTTGTTCTTATGTGCTCGAGTGTTATTCAACGTGTATTTTCCCAAACCATCGATACCCGCCTTCTTCGTCTTCGATCGTACCCCTCTTGTGGGGTATATCTTTCTTCAGTGCAGGCCGGGCCCCGGCAAACGGCGGAGCGGCCGCGGACCGTCGGCCTGGACAGCGGCAGCGCTGATCGGCGGCAACCCGACCCCAAGAGAGACGGACAGGGGCCCGACCACGACGACCACGACGACGACGACGACGACGACGGCGACGACGACAACGACGACGACAACGGCGACGGCGACGGCGACGGCGACGGCGACGGCGACGGCGACGGCGGCGGCGGCGGCGGCGACGACGACGACGACGACGACGACGACGACGACGACCAGCGACAGCGACAGCGAGAGCGAGAGCGAAAGCGAAAGCGACAGCGGGGCCACGAAGGGCAGGAAAGGGGCCACGAAGGGCGACAGCGGGGCCACGAAAAGGCATGCGTGTGGACCCACGAAGGGCGCGAGCGAGCGGGGGCCACGAAGGGCAGGCCATGCGGGGCCACATGGGGCAGCGACGGGGCCACCGACGGTAACAGCGGGGCCACCGAGGACAGCGAGGGGGCCGCAAAGTGCGACGGTGGGGCCACCAAAGGCGCGCATATGGGGCCACGACGGGCACGAACGAGCGGGGGCCACGAAGGGCATGCGCAGATTGGGCCGCAGAGGGCAAGGACGGGCCACTGAGGGCAGCAACGGGGCCACGAAGGGCAGCGATGGGGGCCGCGAAGGGCGACGGCGGCGCCACGAAGCGCATGCATGCGGGGCCGCGGCGGGCGTGAACGATCGGGGGCCACGAAGAGCATGCGTATATTGGGCCACGGAGGGCAGCGAGGGGGCTACGAAAGACTGCGACGGGGCCACATAGGGCAGCAAGGGGGCCACGAACGGTTGCAACGGGGCCACGAAAGGCACCGAGGGGACCGCGAAGGGCTGCGACGGGGCCGCGAAGGGTAACGAGGGGACCGCGGAGGGTTGCAGCGGGGCCACGAAGCGCAGCGAGAGGGCCACGAAGGGCTGTAATGGGGCCACGGAGAGCACGAGGGGGCCACTAATGGCTTCAACGGGGCCGCGAAGGGCAGCGAGGGGGCCACGAAAGGCTGTAACGTTGCCGCGACGGGCAGCGAGGGGGCCACGAAGAACTTCAACGGGGCCACGAAGGCAAGCGAGATCCCGATTCCTATGTCAGCAATGAACGAATCCTAAATGTGAGCGCGACTCCTGGGCGCCTAAGTGTCGGGAGCGGGGCGCTTGACTAAATTGCGGGGGGGTCCAACGCGAGAACGCGATTCTTGAATACATTGCGAGCAAGTCCCCAGCGAGAGCGCGATTCCAGGGGGCCGAAAGAGCGATTCCATAACAAAATTCTAAGGACGTCCCAAGCGAGAGCGCGACTCCTGTGTAAAATGAAATGAATTCTCAGGCGGGAGCGGGGGTCCTGGCTAAATTGTGAGGGAATCTCAGACGGGAGCCGTTGTTGTTGTTGTTGTTGGTGTTGTTGTTGTTGTTGTTGTTGTTGTTGTTGTTGTTGTTGTTGTTGTTGTTGTTGTTGGTGTTGTTGTTGTTGTTGTTGTTGTTGTTGTTGTTGTTGTTGTTGTTGTTGTTGATGTTGCTGTTGCTGTTGTTGTTGTTGTTGTTGTTGTAACCCGGGGGCCAAGGGCACAGTTTGAGCCTAGTGACCCCCTTGTTACAAACTGGATGCGATCCCCGGGGGAAGCACTTCAATTGACAAAAACACAACGGTCACTGAAGGGGGGCTCAACAATAAGTATTATTCAGCAGTGGGAGTTCAACATAAACAGGAACAACAACGACAACAACCACAACACCAACAACAACAGCAGCAGCAGCAACAAACACAATCCGCACCGCAGAGCCTCACTTCAGCCACGCGCCCAAGGGCAGTGAATGACCGCTCGGCCCCCTCACTCTGATTTTGTCTGGTTGTCGAGGTACCACTTGGATTCGAATATGGCAGATGTTCGAGAGGCTCCAACCCAGATGTGCATGGTGGATGAACGAACGACGATCGAATCTGGAACGGTCTGGTACGAGACATCGTCGCTTTTGACCTCATCGGCACGGTGGACATGATTGGCGGCGCGCCGAGGGTGGACGTGAGAGGGGGCGGACCTTCTCGGAACGCGGCGGTACAGTGGAGACCCAGGCCAAGAAACACCCTGCTAGCCTCCAGGGTGCCCTGTGTTTCTTGGGTGCCGATGGTTTTGCAATGGAGAGCGTGACGTTGCCACTTTCTTGTGGATGTGAGGTCGCCCCCTCTGTATTGCTCAGAAGCCCTCCAGGCTTCTGGGAGGCCCTCTGCGTCTTCGGGAAAAGCGTCGCGAGCTTTCGGAAGGCCGAAGGCCTTCCGAGTCTCCTGCGAAGGCCCGCCTCTTTTGCCTTCCCTTCTGGGCACGCTGCAGCATACAGGCACGGGAGGGGCATCGAGAGGCCGTTGAGCCATAGAAACAGTATGATATGTTGCGAGACAGTCGGACGAGCGTGTGTAGCCCGCGACTGCGTCGCGAGTGTGCGAGCCTGGCAGCGGCAGTGGTGGCGTCGCAATCCTTTTGCTGCGCGCGCGAAGTCGCGACGGCTTCTCTCTATCTCACGCCAATATGTCATAAATGATAGGCAGGCGCCCTGAGCTGGAATGGCGAGCTGAGGGGTATGGTGATTGCGGGGATGGCAGCGATGGCGGATGATGACGTATGGTGTATAACGGCTTCAACCTTTTGCACGACCATGTATATTGCATGATGTGTGGTGGCTTACGCGCATCGTGCACTATGTCTCATTCAAAGCTTGAGGCGGACCTGATGCCTAGACGCATGATGCATGATGCCAGGCCCCGTTCGGAGTGGGCAGACCTCGGTCAGGGAGAACTCCATTCGTTGTTTCAGATATGCGGTCATGTCAGTATGTATATATATATAGAAAGAGAGAGAGAGAGAGAGAGAGAGAGAGAGAGAGAGACACGTGTGCATATATACACATGTTCATGTATGTATGTATGGATGTGTGTATGTGTGGATGGTTGTATCCTTGTATGGTTGTATGCTTGTATGTATGCATGCATGTATGTATGCATGGCATGACATGGCATGGCATGGCATTGCACGACATACATGTATGTATATATATGTATGTTAAATATGTATGTGCGTGCTTTGGCGGCGAGCTTGTGGTGGAAGTGAGAAGGGGCGGGCCTTTCCAGAAGGCTCGGAAGTATTCCGGCCTGCCGAGAAGTCTTCTGAGCCTTCACCGAAGACGCAGATTTTTTCTCAGAAGGCCGGACGGCTCCTGAGAAGCCCCGCCGCCCTCTGGGAAGGCCTCCTCCTCACTTCCCCCCCTTTACCAGCCTGGAACATATCCCTATCCCTATGCTGGGCATCTCCTAATCACGATGCCAATCTTAGGGATTCCCTTATTTTTTGAGGGCGGATCCCTAAGATTGTCATCGCCTTTGGGCGTGCCAATCTTGAGGATAGGGATATGTTCGAGGCTGGTAACCCCTCGCTCACTGCCGACCCACGGGCGTGGCCTGTGCCCCCGCCGGCCGATGTACCCCCTCCCAGGTGGGGATATAGGATCCCCTTGGTGTTTCGAGGGGCATTTCCCCAGCTGGGGCGGTGGGATGGTGGGGACTGGGATGGGGATGGAGATGGGGATGGGGATCGTTTAACGATACTTAGCACCGAACGCTGTGCGTTCACCGTGCCCGCGTTGCCGCAGCCTGTTAGTAGGCCGTCTTCGGCCCCAGCGGCGCGAGCTGCGGAGGCACGGCCAGGAGGCCGCATCCGACTGCGATGTGCCCTTTGTGAACCAGGGCTCCTCGCGCCCCCGCCCGTACACGCCGCTCGTTGAGAGCAGGCATTATGCAGGTTTTATGGCCCGTGCCGCCGACCCAGAAGGACGACGAAGACCACGACGACAGCGACAACGACATTGCTCGATCCCCCTTCTTTGCTTGATCTCCCGTACGACGACGACGACGACGACGACGATTCAAAGGATGTTGGCGCAATTACTCCAGCTTGGGTTGGGCTGGCCTCGCGCCGAAGAGCCTCTCACACACGCCAACCGGGTAGGCGGATCTCTTGTCCCGGATCCCAACTTACTTCAGTCGCCTTCCTGCTTCGGGAGTCGATCTGATTTTCTGACTATTCGGTGCTCTCTAGGCGGGCCCGAACCCACCCTCCCTTACTCAGGAGGGAAAGAAACACACGGACACAATTACTCGTCGACTCCCAGGAAGATATAGGAAAGTGTGGGAAGTGGGGGGGAAGACAAAAACCCAGAAAATATGGAAAAGTATGGGAATCATTTTATTTGTGTGTATTTAGTTGTGTGTCCTTGGGCCCCTTGATTTACGTACACGCCTTCCCTTGCTCGACGGGCCCGCGACGCCACGCGAAGAGTCCTGGGCGCGCGCTCGGTGCCTTCCAGCGCGCGCGCCCCGAGGCACCCGCGGCCGCCTCCCGGGCCTGGCGCACCGAGGTCCCCCCGTCGGCCCCAATCCTCGTCGCCGCCCCCCCCTCTCCTCCTCCTCCTCCTCCTCCTCCTCCTCCTCCTCCTCCTCCTCCTCCTCCTCCTCCTCCTCCTCCTCCTCCTCCTCCTCCTCCTGGGGGGATGCTGGCTGTGGTGGCTCGGTCGCGTCGCCGACCTGCGCCAGGCCTCCCGGGCGTGCGGCCCCTGGCGGAGCCGCGGCACCCCTCGCGCTCTGCGTCCACACTCGTCTGTGATGGGCCGCTGGCGGCCTCCTGCGAGGGGAGCGCGCGGGCTGGCGAAGTGCGGCTCCTCTTGTCCGACGAACTTTGCGTGTGCAGTGGGGGCGCGCAGCAGGCCATTGGTTTTTGAAGGATTGTGGCATTTGCTTTTTGTTCTGCCTTCCGACGGCCCGAGACGGCCAAGTGCCCCCAAAGATCGCCCAAGAGGCCCAAGACACGGCCCCAAGAGGCCCCCAAGACGGCCCAAGAGGTCTCCAAGACGCTCAAGATGGCCTCCAAGACTGCCCAAGAGCCCTCCAAGACATCTGCTTTTCGTCAGGGGTACACCCCGGGTTTCTTCGCTCCCCGCGCGGCGCGGCGGCTGCCCGCGGCCGTTGAAGGAGCTGCTGCGCTCAGAGTGCTCCAGGTTTCCCCTCCGGTGCACTTCGCGCGCGGGGTTTCAGGGTTGGGTTTCTTGCGAGGGTTTCCTGCGGCCGCACCCGCACTGTACCTTCTGGGGGGTGGCGGTGTATCAAGTCCTGGCTGTCGAGGGGCGATTTATGCACCGCCACCACTCTCTGAGGCCTACTGGAGGGTGTCTGTCTCTTTTTCTGTTCGGGCGGACCGTGTGCTGTTCCCGGACCCCTCGAGTCACGATAGAATCACGACGCCAGGTTCTTGGCATGTTTCTGGTTCTGGATGCCCTCGGTGCGGTCAAACAACCAAATCTTGGTCCCAAAGCTTGTCTATACGAGATGGTTGTCAGGTGCTGGTGCTGCAGCAGATTCCCCAGCCTGGGAAAGTCCTCGGTGCATTCCGAGCCGCCATCTCGAGTAGGATGCGTCGTAGGGCCAGACGTGGTGCGTCCCAGAACTGGCCCAGGTGCGTTCCCTGCGTTCCGGCTCGAGGATGCTGCGGCCTGGGTTCGCAAGGGTGCGTCTCAAGAACGTCCCAGGTGCATTCCCGAGCGCGCCCGCTCGAGGATGGTGCGCGTCCGCTCGAGGATGGCCAGGCCAGACAACGTTGCGCCCCGGCGTAAGCATTGCGCGTTCCAACGCGCCCCAGCGGAAACATTGTGTTTTTATTGTGCTTCCGATTGCGCGTCGGAAAATCCTAACATGATCACTGTGTTTCTAATGGCGCTATATCAGCGGAGACGGTGTTAGTTTCATGATGTTTGTGATGGCACCCTATCGAAAGTAGTGTAGTCATACTGTTTATACTGCATGAAAGGTGTGATATCGGCGGAAGGTTTTCAAAAGAGGCAACTTTGTTTTAACAGACATTGCAAATTTCTGGCCTCTCAGGGCATCCCGTGCGTGTTTTGTTCCAGGGGGCGAGCCATGGGACGTTCCGTCGAATTCGCTCTATGTTGTTTCCGATTGCGACCTGGTTATCGGAACATTGTGTCTTTATTGTGTGTCCGATGGTGCGCCATCGGAGGCGTCGTGTGTTCTGCTGCGTTCCCGACGACGCCTATCAGAAGACCTGGCCCTCGCTGGTGGGTTGCCGACTGCGCAGCAGTTGTCGCACATTTCGTGAGCTCCTTGTCCTCAGGGAACAGATCGGGGACAAACAGTGACATCAGCATGCGGAGGTCCGCGCGGAGTTCTCGGATCGGCGCTGGAGTCCCTCCCCAGCGCGTGGAGCGCGCCGGGGGCGGCGCGGGAGGAGCCGCCAGGGGGCCCCGGCGCCGATCCGAGGAATTTGAGCGGACCAGCGAGTTTTTAGGCTTACGATCTGGGCGGGCCGGACGAAAGGGGGGGATTGGGAAAGGGGGGGTTACGAAATCTGCTGCATGCAGCTGGTTTCGGCCCCACCGAGGGGCCCCTTCCTCGATACATGGCCGCCTCCGGCGCCGGGAGGCGCCGGGAAAATCAGCTCCGTGAGCTGATTATCAAGCCCCACCTTTGTTATCCCCCCCTTTCGCCAAGCCCGAGTCCAGCGGAGTGCGATCTTGTTCAGATCCACATCATTACTCCCCTCCATGAGAACTACCCCTTCGCGCAAAACGACGCCGTTGCCATCAGTTTTTTGGGGGGGCCAGCGGAGCATGGCCCCACACCGACCCAGACAGGGGCCTCGCCCTCAATGATCACTGCCAACTGTGCAGCCTGTGCTTCTTTTTGCCATTGTGCTCGGGGGTGGACAGACCCCCTACCCTGACACGTCGATTAGCGAATTGGCCGTTTCCGGTTCGCGAGAGGGCGTCGCGGCCGTCACTTTTGCGGGTCCAGGTCCGTCGGTTTCGGTTCCAGGCCGTCTTCAGTAAAGGGAGTCGGAAGCCGGGCAAGGGCTGCTAAATCCGTGGCTGCTAAAATCGACCTCCGGGAAGTTGTCTTCGTCCTTCCGGGAAGAAGCCCGTTGACTGTTTCGCGTGCCGCGCCTCATTCCGGGAAGTTGTTTTTTCCGTCCGGGAGGGCCGTTTTAGCAGCCACGGTTTTAGCAGCCCTCGCCCAGCTTTCGAGGGAGGTTTACTACAGGGAGGGTCGTCCACCGCCGCTGTGCCGCATGTCCTGATCCCCCCCGCCGTGTTTGAGGTCCTGGCGTCTGTGCACGTCGGCCCAGTGGGGAGTGCAGTGCGCGCCCCTCGACCCAGCGTCACCCGATCGATGCAGGCCCCGCCTCCTCCTCCTCCTCCTCCTCCTCCTCCTCCTCCTCCTCCTCCTCCTCCTCCTCCTCCTCCTCCTCCTCCTCCTCCTCCTCCTCCTCCTCCTCCTCCTCCTCCTCCTCACCCTTCGTCTTTCGGGCCGGGCGGAAGGGGGGGATTGGGAAAGGGGGGGTTACGAAATTTGCTGCATGCAGCTGGTTTCGGCCCCACCGAGGGGCCCATTCCTCGATACATGGCCGCCTCCGGCGCCGGGAGGCGCCGGGAAAATCAGCTACGTGAGCTGATTCTCAAACCCCCCCTTTGCTATCCCCCCCTTTCGCCCGACCCGAGTCTTGTGCTGACCCGTCTGGCAAGTTGTCCTCGTCGGTGTCGTTTCGGTCGGCGCAGCCCAGGGGGTGATCCAGCGGAGCTTGTTTGCAAGGGGATACTTACTGGGGCGAGGGTGAAGCGCGCTTTACGGATACGTTTCAATACACGCGTTTGTGAAACGTGTTCTGTCATCAGAGTGAAGGGAGCGAGCGGTCATCCATTATCCCTGGGTGCGTGGCTGAAGTGGGGATCTGCGGTGCAGGTCATTGTTGCATTGTTGTTGTTGTTGCTGCTGCTGCTGCTGCTGTTGGTGTTGTTGCTGCTGTTGTTGTTGTGGTGGTGGTGGTGGTGGTGGTTGTTGTTGGTGGTGTTGTTGGTGTTGTTGCTGCTGTTGTTGTTGCTGTTGCTGGTGTTGTTGTTGTCGTTGTCGTTGTCGTTGTCGTTGTCGTTGTCGTTGTCGTTGTTGTTGTTGTTGTTGTTGTTGTTGTTGTTGTTGGTGTTGGTGTTGGTGTTGGTGTTGGTGTTGGTGTTGTTGTTGTTGTTGGTGTTGGTGTTGTTGTTGTTGTTGCTGTTGTTGTTGTTGCTGTTGCTGTTGCTGATGCTGTTGCTGTTGTTGCTGTTGTCTGTTGTTGTCTGTTGTTGTCTGTTGTTGTCGTTGTCCCACTCGCGACCCATCCGCGACCAGCCCGCGACCCATCCGCGACCAGCCCACCCGCGACCCAACCGCGACGCACCCCGCGATCGCCCCTTCGCTCTCATGTGCAACTGCGGGGTGCTACGCACATCATCTCGCTGGCACATGGTGGCCTTCGGCCCATCCTGCCACCGTTCTTGGGTCGTGGGCGGGAGGCGTCTTGGAGGCCTGTAAGGGTCCTCTGGGGGGGGGATGGGGGCTGATGGTCCTGTAAGGGTCCTTGGACGCCTGTTAGGGTCTTCCTTGGAAGCCTCTAAGGGTCTTCCTGTAAGGGTGTTCCCTGGGAGGATAATGAGGAGGAGCGAGTTCTTCTTCCTTGTCTTGGAGGCCTGTCCGGGGTCGTCGCTCAGACCTTCCTTGTCTTGGAGGCTTCGTCTTCCTTGTCTTGGAGGCCCTGTCCTTGTCTTGGAGGCCTTGTCTTGGGGTCCTTGGAAGCCTCGCTCGGACCCGTTCGGGGTCTCTTTGAGGGCCCGCGGGCGCCTCCTGCAGCGCCTCTCGCGTGCCCGCTGGCGGCCGCAGGGGCCCTCCTGAGCTGTGCAGCTGCAGGGGCCCGCGCGGCAGTTCGAGCCTCCTCCTCCTGCTCCTGCTCCTCCTCCTCCTCCTCCTCCTCCTCCTCTCCTCCTCCTCCTCCTCCTCTTCCTCTTCCTCCTCCTCAAGAGTGGGGTCGGGCTTCGGCCCCCTGGCGGAGGCGGGGAGCGCCGGGCCCTCGGGGCGAAAAGCCCCCGCGCCCCGGGGGACGCCGCCAAAGTGCGGTTTCCTTCCCCCGGGGGGGTCGCCAGGCCCCGTGGCCTCCCCCAGGGCGGTGCTGGGTCCCCCCAGCACTCGCCGCCCTGGGGCGGGACCGGCGGCTCGTCTTTGTCGTGTCGTTCGTCCGTGTCGTGTCGTGCGTGTCGGTCGTGGCCGTTTCGTCCCCCGTCGTGTCGTGTCGTGTCGTGCCGTTTTTTTGGGGGGGGTTCGGTCCTGGGGTCCGGTCCTTTTTTCGGTCCTGGGGTCCGGCCCTGGGTCCCTGGGGGCGGGTGGCGCGGCGCCGTCTTTTTCGCTAAACGCGGCGCCGCGCAGCCCCTTTTTTGGGGGCCCCCGTCGTTTTTCCCCGTGCCGTGCCGGCCGGGCTCGCCCGCCGGCCGGGCGCGCGGGGCGCCGCGCCGGGGCGGCGGGCGCGGCGACGCGTCGCTGGGCTGATTTCGCGCGGTTGAGGAAAAAAATCCTCTTCTTCGTGCTCCTCCTCCTCCTCCTGCTCCTCCTCCTCCTCCTCCTCCTCCTCCTCCTCCTCCTCCTCCTCCTCCTTCCTCTCGCGGGTCCCTTGGGCCTCTGTTCGGCCCCTCTTGGAGGCTCGGGGGGCCCCCTCTCGTCACGATGCTTGGACTTCGGGGGGCAGCCTGAGTCGTCTTGTGCGCTCTTGAAAAACCGATGCTGGTGGCGGGGTTTCTATGTTTGTTGGCGCGTCCTCAGGCCCAGGCCCATGAGCGCCCAAGAATTCCTGGATTGCACGGCCTGGGCTCTTGACAGAGAATGCACCATGCTTATCATGCAAAAAACTCGAAGGGATCTGAGGACACTCCGCTGATTGCCTTCGGCACGGTGGCGGATTCTTAGACATTGTCCAATTTGCGGGGGACCGTGGTTCCATTAATTCTGGTGCGTGGATCAGAGGAGGGCGAGTTGAGACAATGTTAGTTGGCCTTCGACGCAGCTCGAGCAAATTGTGCGTTTGGTCCATATGGCGGGGTCTTCGGACCGATTCTGAGTTGGCGTTATCTCAATTCGCCTTGCTCCGAAAGACGCACATGTATGTGCGAGACCTAATTGCACAAGCCGTTTTTTCAGGCATGCGGTGGTCCTGATCAGGGGCCAGCAGCCATGCACCAAACGAAGTTGGCACGGAGTGTCAGCTTGCGAAGGCAAGTGGCACGTGCTCGTCTCACACCGTAGGTCGGCGACACACCCAGGGAGGGAGGCAGAGTGGACCGGCCTTCTCAGCAGGCGGCGGGGGTTTTCATGATCTTTCGCGCCTTCCTAGAAGGCGTGTGCGGCTTCGGGAGAGGCCTGGCGTGCTTCTCGGGAGGGTTTCCGATAAGCTCAGCCGCCCCTATGAGAAGATGGGCCTCTCTGCCTGTCCCCCCCCCAGCGCGCCGCTGGTGTAGGCCAGGCGTAGAATTTCGATTTCGCCATTCAGGGGCTCGTGTTGCTCATAGGGTCGGACCGAGGTGTAAGACCGAGGTCGGTTCGGGGAGGGTGCCCTGATGTTCTTCGTGTCTGCTGGATGTTCTGGTGCATCCTGGGGAGTGGCCTCAGTGGCCTTAGGTGTTCTGTGTGCTTTGGCCGGAGGATGACCTCATGGTTTTGAAGGGTGTTCTCCTGTCCTGGGTCCGGCCGTACAGGTCAGCGACGGAAGAGAACGGGGTCGACGGCGCGGACGTTTGCGCGCAGGCTGCCCGCGCAAGGTTGCGCGTGAGCGCCCCTCCTCCACGCGGTGTGCCACGCTGGCGGCCCGAGCACGCCACGCGGTGTCATCGTGCGTAAGACCCGTGTCTGAACGTGGCTCGGGTGGGCTCTGGGAAACAGTTACTGAGCACCCCCCCCTCCCCCAAAACTCGATGTTGGCAGGCGCGGGGGAGACGGCGGTCGAACTGCGTCTCATCGGACCCGTGTCTGAACGTGGCTCGGGCGGGTTGATGCTGAGGATGGTGGATGTTTGGCGGTCGATGCCTCTCAGGAGGAAAAGAAGCACACAGACACTGTTAATCTTCGATTCCCCATAACATACAGGAAAATATGGGATGGGGGAGGAAGACAGAAACCCAGAAAATGTTGAATTTGTTTGGAAATATGTTTATTTGTGTGTATTTATTTGTGTGTCCTGGGGCCCCTTCAGCCTCCCCTGCGCGGATGTGCCCGGGCTGGAGTGATGTCCGGGCGGGGCGTGGCGACCGCGTCGTTCGGCGTGCGCCAGTGCCAGACAAGTGGTAGCACGGGCGGGAGCATGGCGTCAGGGGTTGACATACCTCCTCACAGTGACTCGTCGATTAGTAAGTTGTCCGTTTTCGGTTCTCGAGAGGGCGCCGCGGCCGTTATTTCCCAGGCTTGCGCCCGCCAGGATTGGGCCCGAGGTCGTTTTCACTAAACCACGTTTTACTAAAGGGAGGTCTGTCCATCCCCGAATGGCGGGATTCGGCATCGTCTAACTAAATCCCCATCCCCACTGGGCCACGCATGGTATCCCGGCCCCAGCAGCCCACCATGCCAGTTGGGGACAGGTTCCGTGGCCACCTCGGGCCGCCGCCTGGCGATCCTGGGGCCTGCTGGAAGCGTGGCCACACCGCGCAGTCTCGGAGGGCCTTCGCTGGCGTCTTGGGCCCATGGAGGACCATCTTGGACGCCCTGGCCTTGGCATCGCTCGGACGTGTGCATTTTTCTGTCGGCGAGGACCATCGAGGAGCATCCTTGATCACTTGGCGAAAAAACCGCGCACGACACCGAAAAACGCATCGCGAATGGACGTCCGAGCGATGGCCAGTGGCCTCTCGCGGCCCTCTCACTCCCTGCGGCCGAGACCGATGGTCAGAATGTGCAGCCTTCCCCAATGGCGGCCTCGCACCCCCGCCCCCTCGCCCCATCCCTGACTGCCTCCGGTGGCCCGCCGTGCTCGCAAAAGCCTCCGCGCGGGCGTCCGCGGGGCTCTGCATATCTGAAGGGGCCCCAGGACACAAATAAATACACACAAATAAAACTGTGCCCCATATTTTCACATATTTTCTGGGTTTTTGTCTTCCAACCCACTTCCCATATTTTCCTGGGAATCGACGATTAATTGTGTCTGTGTGTTTCTTTCCCTCCTGAATATCCTCTTCGCGCATCCTTACCAGCAGCCTCGCCTGCACCCCAGGGAGGGAGGCGCTTCCCGCCGCGGGGCGGGCCCGCCCCTCGAGCCCCCGTGGCGGCCGCGCGGCCGGTGGCCCGCGTGCCCCGCCTGGGCCTCGGCCCGCCCCTGGGACGGCCCGAGGTGGCCCGCGAGACGGCCAAGTTTCAGGAGGGGGAAAAACACACAGACACAATTAATCGTCGATTCCCCAGAAAATATGGGAAAATATGGGAAGTGGGGGGGAAGACAAAAACCCAGAAAATATTGGAAAATATGGGGAATCATTTTATTTGTGTGTATTTATTTGTGTGTCCTGGGGCCCCTTGACAAGTTGGCCTTGCAGTCAGCAGGGACAGCGAGGGCGATTGGGCTTCCCGGGGGCACTCCTCGGGTTTCTGAAGCAGCGTGGGGGGGTACCCCCCCGACGGGGGTCGACCTCGCCTCGTCGTCGCGCCGCGGCGGGGGTCGGAGCGCCTTCGGCGCGCGGTGGCTGCCCGCGACGGAGGTCGATGTGTGGCTGTCGGCGGGGGTGGCGTCCCCTGGACGCTTATTAAGACATTCGGAGTAAGGATGATTGGATTCCCAAGGGTACCCTTTTGCATCCTTGCCTCTTCGGTCATCTTCGGTCCATCCTCACCCACCTTCGATGCCCGCCGGCCCCGCTCTGAAAGCTTTGGCATGGGCGTCCAAAGCCCTTGCATCCTTGTCGCTTATCCGTACTATCAGTTTTGACTGTAGGTGGGGTGCTCCAGAAAGGGCATCGCCTCCGCGGATCGGAGCAGGGTGGCCTCTCTTCCCTGGTGGAAGGGCCAGCGGAAGCAAAACCGCGGCGGTTCCGCCGGCAGAAGTACACCAGACAGGTGGAGACCGATGTCCAAGCTGGTTCCCAGACAGCCAAGATGGCCCAAGATCGCCTCCAAGTCGGCCCAAGAGGGCACCAAAACGGCCTAAGGCAGCCTCCAGACGGCCTAGGAGAGCCCCAAGACGAACCCATGTATGCCCCAATACCACCCCAACAGGACCCCCAAGAGGCCCCGAAGAGACAAACTCCATCACACATGTCGTAAGATTGCTCATGATTTGACATGCTAGCGTTTTCGGGCCGTCAGAACGCCCACGACAGCCCAAGAGTTCGCCAGGCGCGCCGCACGACTTCACGAAAGAGCCCCAAGACGGCCGGCACCTCCATGGCCCAGGAAGGCCCAAGACGACCGAAGAGACCCCCAAGACGACACCCAAGAGTGCCAAGACCGCCCCGAGCCCCTCAAGATTACCCCAAGAGTCCCCCCAAGTCATATGCTTTACTTCAGTCCTCCCAGAACTAAGAATTCACTATGCGTTCGGCGGAAGTGGCGCCGCCAAGTTGTGTGTGGTTCACACGGCAAACCGCAGAAAGATCATCTCTCGTTCGTCTTGGCCCCCCCCGTTGGCTTACAGGTCGAGCGGGCGGGGGCCCAAGCAGAGGCACGCTCAGGCGTCCAACACTGCCCTTCCTGACCCCCATCCCCTCAACGCCCCCCGCCCGCCGTGCCCCCTGGCCCAGGGTCTTCGGTGCAATAGGGGAACCAAGAATGGTATAAACATGAAAACTCTGAGGTCCGCGCGGATTTCTCGGATCCGCGCTGGGCCCCCCTGGCGGCGCCTCCGACGCCGCCCCTGGCGAGCTCCGCGCGCCAGGGAGGGGGGTCTAGCGCGGAGCCAAGAATTCCGCGCGGACCTCCGAGTTGTTATGTAAGCATTCGGTTCCCTATGCACAGCTGTCTTTGCGCACCATGAGGCCCGAACCTTACGCATACGACCCTTTGGAACACGAGCCTCTATTTCAGGTGCTGGTACGCACAGGCGAAAGCCGATCGCGCCCTGTGCGTAAGAACTCGGTGAACACACGAAGGCATAAACATAAGTGTTCGGAGGTCCGCACGGACCTCTGAACGTTGATGCTTATGTCAGTCTGCGTTCCTTGAAGAATTGCCTGCCGTTTGCGCAACCACCCTTTTGCAGATGTAATTCCGCGGAGACCGTGAGGATGCACATTGTATATAAGAGCCGCCTGACTCGTGGTCGGATGGCTCGGCACGACCTTTTTTTATTGCCTGGTGGCGAAATGATCGTCGGAGTGCTTGTCCATGCTTGTGAGCTTGTGCCTGCCTCACCTATGCTCGCTGTTGCTGCGTCGGGTATTCTGTCACAGCAAGGGTTCGATGTCTGTGCACGGGGAGCCTCGTGCGGCGACACTGAGGCCACGTCGTCCTGCATCCGGATCGCACCTGGACCGCGTCTCGCCCCTCTCCTTGCTCCTCCTCGCCCTTCTCCTGCTCCTCCTCCCCTTCCTCGCTCTGCTCGCCTCCCCTTCCTCGTGCTTCTCGCCTCCCCTTCCTCGTGCTTCTCGCCTCCTCGGGCTTCTCGCCTCCCTCTTCCTTCCTCCTGCTTCTCGCCTCCCTCTTCCTCGTGCTTCTCGCCTCCTCCCCTTCCTCGTGCTTCTCGCCTCCACCTCCGCCGTGCGGTCCAGATCGGGCCCCCCTCGGACGGCGCTGGGGCGGGGGGCACGTGGGCTCCCAGGGGCCAGACACCGGCCGCCGCCGGACCTCCCGTGCCGAAGAGGTCTTTTTTTTCCCCACGAGCAGGACCTGGCAGGACAGGCAGGCCTGGAGGAGGAGGAGGAGGAGGAGGAGGAGGAGGAGGAGGAGGAGAAGGAGGAGGAGGGGGAGGAAGAGTAGGAGGAGGAGGAGGAGGAGGAGGAGGAGGAGGAGGAGGAGGAGGACGAATGTTGCGAGCATCGTGCCTGGAGTCTGGCCAACGTCAAAAAGGAGGAGGGGGAGGAGGAGGAGGAGGAGGAGGAGGAGGAGGAGGAGGAGGAGGAGGAGCAGGACTCCTTGGCCGAGGAGGTTTCCCCACGGGCAGGACCGGCAGGACGGCGACACCCAAACAGCAGGCGCGAAGCGTGGTTATGGCGAATCTTCGGTTGAACTTTCACGTCCGGAGGGTAATTTTTCACGCTTCGCGTATCCTCGCCAGGTAACCCACCCAGGGGAAGTGACGACATCTTCCACACCAGGCAACACGTCAGCAGCTTCGACTGCGACGGGTGCCCGAACACGGGACTCCAAGGCACGGCAGGCACCTGGGAGGATGACGACACAAGGGAGCTTCTGGCGCAGAACCGCTCCCAAGCGCACTTGCAAGGCCGAAGCTGTAGGTGGCTGTGCGAGCATTGCTGGATAAAGTCGCTGGAAAAAAGGGGCATCGAGGCCCCCCTTGCCGAAAACAAAGACCTCAGCAACAAGAAGTCGCTCCAGCAGCGCCCACAGGCGTACAAGCGCACATTGGACGAGGCTCGCTACCGAAAGAGAGCCCGCGCTCTCCCCCCCCCCCTTGGATCGGCTCCCAATCGGGTACGGGCGGACGGATACTGC